AAAAAGACTACTGCCAAGAAACAAAGAAGCATCTCTGCATATCAGGCTTATGTGGCCAGCAATGTCCGGGGCCGACTGGCAAACAGGGAGGATGTGCAAAAGTACCGGCAGCTCTCCGAGTCTGAGATGCAGAAGTATGGGAACCTGGCCCATGCCATGACCCAAAGGCGTCGTGTCGCTGGAGGAAAACGCTCGAAGGTTCGCAGGGCAGATCCCTTGGCTTGGCCTTTGAGGCTGAAGCGCAAGGCGGCCAGGCGGCTGCAAAGTCGCTTTGATCCCAAGGAAGCACGCCGACAGCTCCAAAGAGACGCTCGAAGGTTCGCAGGGCAGATCCCTTGGCTTGGCCTTTGAGGCTGAAGCGCAAGGCGGCCAGGCGGCTGCAAAGGCGCTTTGATCCCAAGGAAGCACGCCGACAGCTCCAAAGAGATCGGTCCGATCCACTGTGGATGAGGTGGCAGCAAATCAGCTCGGAAATGGACAGACAGCACAATCAGGCCCAAGCAGGGGACAAGCAGGCCCGAGAGGACTTTCTGTCGCATGTGGACTGCAAGGGTGAACTTTGGCCTCTAGATCCTTTGAAGGACCACATCTTCAGCTGGCGCATCCAACGACCACCTGCCTGCTCTGATCCTGTCCCTGACACAGGCTTCACTTCTGACTTTGTGCAACACACATGGATGAGCAAAGCTGCTCAAGATGTTGCTTGTGCTCCGAGCATCACCGGAGTTCTTGGACGGTCAAGGGAGTCGCGGCTGGCGGAGTGGGAGCGGCGGCACGTGGTTTTGCGGCCTATGCCTGGGGTCAAACTAGCGAAAGAGTCTGATAATGCTCGAGCAGCCCGTGCCATCAGACAAGCTGGGCTTGTGCTCTCCCCTGCAGCCCGCAACCTGGAAAAGGCATTAGCCAACATGCTGATGACCTTTGCTGGTCAAGGCTTGAAGGAGCCGTCCAAGGTCAAAAGCAAGCAGCGATTGCTGCTCGATGAGAACCACGTAGTTGTCCGGTTGCAGAGGCCCGAGATTGCCGGGTCCATGGTCCGATGCCTTTGGTATCAGGTTTGCTACCTGACATATGATCGGCCTGTGCGAGCCACCTTCCTGTCTCTGGAGGAGGACACGTAGCCTGGTTTGAGAAGCGGCATAAGCAGTAACTCAGTCATCAATCAGTAAGCAGTAATATAGTAATATGTACTAGTGGTAATTCGTAATATGCTGTCTTCCACAATGCTATGCGGGACCCTGGAGCTCTTGTTCTGTTCAATGTCAGTCTATCTAACCCACGAGGTACCTCCAGCCGACCACGAGGCAAGGTCTCATCTTGGCCCCGAAGTGGAAACCGGGATGTGGTCGGCAAACATGGCTTTTCAGCCTTCCAGAGCTGGCTGCTTCCTTGGTGCCTAGCAGCAATTGGACGGGGGAGTTCTTGTATATTAAAGGTTGCGGACTTGGGCCCGAAAAGGAGGAGGCTGACAACGACAGGCCATTTTTCCTGGATGTGCAACCCATGGACACAGGTCCGTTTACTCTCGATTCCGTCTGCACTTCGAAGGGTCCGAATGGTCCAGACCAGGCAGGGTCCGAGAGTGATGATGATGCTGTCCAGACAGAGGCACTCCAGACAAAGGCCCGAGTCAGCCAGGCTTTCAAATCTGCTGCTTTGGACGTCCATGGAATGCTTCCACAGGAAGAGGTCGAAGACATCATCCAGAGAGCTGCAAAAGGCAAAACAATACAGCTTGCGGATGATGTCAAGGTCCTCTTTACCTTCCGACAGCCAAGCAAGCAAAATCCCTGTGGGGGTTTTCAGGTCCGATGCTACTGCCACAGGCCCGACAAGAAGGTCAACAAGGCAGGGACCGAATATGCGCTGGCATGTCGCCGCACTATGTCCATTCCAGGAAGTGGCCAAGCTGCAGAGACTCTGAAGCATCTGTCCGAATGGGCCCTGGCCGGACCGAATTTCGAGAGTCGAGTGAAGCACCAGGCCATGCCAGTACCTGGAAGAAAGACCAAGGCAGCAAAGGGGACGAGTGCAGGGAAAAAGGCTTGCAGCAAAAAGAAGCGGTCCAGCTCCTCGAGCAGCTCCAGCAGTAGCAGCAGCAGTGACAGCAGCAGCAGCCAGAGCAAGAGCAAAAACCAGGGCCGAATGGATGAGCTGCGTCTGCCACGGGGTGTTGCCAACTTACCTGCAGGCATCCTGGTGAAAGGAAGCTATGAGCTGAGCGACGTTCCCGGTGATGGGGATTGCTTGTTCACTGCTTTGGGCAGAGAGCTGGAGTGCAAGGAAAAGCTCATCCCGGGCATGCGGCTGCCCAGTGGCCAGAGTGGTTCGAACATGGGCCCGAGGTGGCGGTCGCAACTGGTGCAATCTGTTCGTCGATTGGCCAGCAGCAGGACACAGTTTGAGGGCCTTGGCATATCAGACTGGCTGCAGCACTCTGGGTGGCCCGACCTGGAATCCTACATCGATGGGATGACACTGGCCGCAGAAAATCCAGAGGATCCACGGCAGCACTGGGGTGGCTTTCTGGAGGCTACGATCTTGTGTCACGCAACAAGCCCATTGGTAGGTTGTCTGTTGGCCAGGCAGGTTCGAGAGGGGGTCCGATGCCAAGCTTGGTGTGGTGCTCCGTTCAAAGGCCCACCAAATTATGTGGCCATCTGCTGGACAGGAAACCACTGGCAGAGACTTCGTCTTAGGAAACCAGCCGAAGAGAAGCTGCAGGAGTGGTTCCTCTCTGTGTAGCCAGGCCCGACTGTGTAGGCAGGCCACAAGGGCCCGACTATGTCTTGGGCGCAAGGAGACAGAAAGCAAGAGCCACGACTACGATTGTATTCAGGAGTGCCCATGTGCCATGCTAATTAGGAATAGAAGAAAACAGGGTGAGCAAGATACGACATGCAGCTGCCAGTCACATTGCAAATGAGGCGCCCTAAGAGGCATTGTAGACATGACTAGGATGTCTTGGCTGCATGCAGAGAGAAAAGGAGAGCTATGATTGTCTTGAGGACAGCCCATATGCCATGCAAAGTTAGAATACATGAAGACAGGGTCAGGTAGACTTCAGATGCAGCTGCTCCTGACATTGCAGATTAGGCGAACGAAGAGTACTTCTGGACATCAGCAAAGCTGTGCTTGCTCTGGTGCAGGTCTGAAGCCTGCTGTCGGTTTGGTGCGAGCAGATCTTTGTGCCTGAGAAGGCACATTCTGTGCTTGCAACCGCTCAGAGTAATTGCTTACAGTTACAAGTCTTGTACTTTCTGACTCCATGAGAAAATTGGAATTGTAAGGACGAGCTCTGTCATCCAGATATTGTGCGAGCTAGCTAGTGTAACCCATGGATGGGCATGGCAGGAAATCGTGATCAGAAAGTCTCCTTTGTTGACGTATCCGGAAGCCTTCAGATTGTTATATTCAGGGGTCGTAGTTCGGCAGATTCGGGGATTGCAACGGTTCTGAGGTCTTGTGTTTGTGTGCTGGAGGCACAAGACATAGGGCACAGGGCAGTGTGCACGGCATGCTGTATCCGACATGCAGTTCGCTGCAGGCAGCAGGCTTAGCTAGAGATGTTCGTGCAAGCACCGGGTGCCTGCTAAATTGTTTGACAGAAACTCCACAGCATGTTGCAAAGGACTCGTATCCTTGGCCGACTTAGTTTATAGTTATAAGCTGCAGGTAGCACGTAGCCTTTGTGCAGGTAGCCACCTTGCAGTTTTTGAGATGTTGCGTGCAGCCACGGGCGTGGCTGCTGCATTCCTGCACACTGCATACTGATGTAAGCACCAGAAGGGCCTTGGCAGGAGGCTCAGGGGTTCAGTGTGAACGAACACGACCTTGCACATACACACAGGGAGGTTGCAGGTAGCAGCAGACCTGGGTGGTGTATTTCTCCGTAGTGAGGCAAGCTCCATAGCTCCGGTCTTTGCATAAGGCTCAGGCCTTGAATTTTTAGGAAGCACCATGAACTTGCAGGTATTCAGAAAGGCATGCCGGGCAGAGCTCCTGTGCAGGGTACCCGCAGGGGCCTTGTGCGGTTACCCGCATGCCCTGTGCGAGTACCCACGGGGGCCTTGTGCGGGTACCCGCGGAGGCCTTGTGCAGGTACCCGCGCGGCCTGTGCAGGTACCCGTGCGGGCCCTGTGCGGGTACCCGCGCGGGCCTTGTGCGGGTACCCGCGCGGGCCTTGTGCGGGTACCCGCGCGGGCCTTTTGCGGGTACCCGCGCGGGCCTTGTGCGGGTACCCGCGCGGGCCTTGTGCGGGTACCCGCGCGGGCCTTGTGCAGGTACCCACGTGGCTTCTTGGCGTGTTCTTGAATTGATTAAGTCTAAGTAAATTCCATTGAGGTTTTTGCAGAAAGCTTAAGGCTTAAGGCTTAAGACTTAGGTAGTTCAGTATTACCCACAGACATACCGGCCCTTTGCGGGTACCCGCGCGGGCCTTGTGCGGGTACCCGCGCGGGCCTTGTGCGGGTACCCGCGCGGGCCTTGTGCGGGTACCCGCGCGGGCCTTGTGCGGGTACCCGCGCGGGCCTTGTGCGGGTACCCGCGTGGCTTCTTGGCGTGTTCTTGAATTGACTAAGTCTAAGTAAATTCCATTGAGGTTTTTGCAGACAAGCTTAAGGCTTAAGGCTTAAGACTTAGGTAGTTCAGTATTACCCACAGACATACCGGCCCTTTGCGGGTACCCGCGCGGGCCTTGTGCGGGTACCCGCGCGGGCCTTGTGCGGGTACCCGCGCGGGCCTTGTGCGGGTACCCGCGCGGGCCTTTTGCGGGTACCCGCGCAGGCCTTGTGCGGGTACCCGCGCGGGCCTTGTGCGGGTACCCGCGCGGGCCTTGTGCGGGTACCCGCGTGGCTTCTTGGCGTGTTCTTGAATTGACTAAGTCTAAGTAAATTCCATTGAGGTTTTTGCAGAAAGCTTAAGGCTTAAGGCTTAAGACTTAGGTAGTTCAAAATTACCCACAGACATAGCGGCCCTTTGCGGGTACCCGCGCGGGCCTTCTGCGGGTACCCGCGCGGGCCTTGCATGTGCGGGTACCCGCACGGGCCTTGTGCGGGTACCCGCGCGGGCCTTTTGCGGGTACCCGCGCGGGCCTTTTGCGGGTACCCGCGCGGGCCTTGTGCGGGTACCCGCGCGGGCCTTGTGCGGGTACCCGCGCGGGCCTTGTGCGGGTACCCGCGTGGCTTCTTGGCGTGTTCTTGAATTGACTAAGTCTAAGTAAATTCCATTGAGGTTTTTGCAGAAAGCTTAAGGCTTAAGGCTTAAGACTTAGGTAGTTCAGTATTACCCACAGACATACCGGCCCTTTGCGGGTACCCGCGCGGGCCTTGTGCGGGTACCCGCGCGGGCCTTGTGCGGGTACCCGCGTGGCTTCTTGGCGTGTTCTTGAATTGACTAAGTCTAAGTAAATTCCATTGAGGTTTTTGCAGAAAGCTTAAGGCTTAAGGCTTAAGACTTAGGTAGTTCAGTATTACCCACAGACATACCGGCCCTTTGCGGGTACCCGCGCGGGCCTTGTGCGGGTACCCGCGCGGGCCTTGTGCGGGTACCCGCGCGGGCCTTGTGCGGGTACCCGCGCGGGCCTTTTGCGGGTACCCGCGCGGGCCTTGTGCGGGTACCCGCGCGGGCCTTGTGCGGGTACCCGCGCGGGCCTTGTGCGGGTACCCACGTGGCTTCTTGGCGTGTTCTTGAATTGACTAAGTCTAAGTAAATTCCATTGAGGTTTTTGCAGAAAGCTTAAGGCTTAAGGCTTAAGACTTAGGTAGTTCAGTATTACCCACAGACATACCGGCCCTTTGCGGGTACCCGCGCGGGCCTTGTGCGGGTACCCGCGCGGGCCTTGTGCGGGTACCCGCGCGGGCCTTGTGCGGGTACCCGCGCGGGCCTTGTTGCGGGTACCCGCGCGGGCCTTGTGCGGGTACCCGCGCGGGCCTTGTGCGGGTACCCGCGCGGGCCTTGTGCGGGTACCCGCGTGGCTTCTTGGCGTGTTCTTGAATTGACTAAGTCTAAGTAAATTCCATTGAGGTTTTTGCAGAAAGCTTAAGGCTTAAGGCTTAAGACTTAGGTAGTTCAGTATTACCCACAGACATACCGGCCCTTTGCGGGTACCCGCGCGGGCCTTGTGCGGGTACCCGCGCGGGCCTTGTGCGGGTACCCGCGCGGGCCTTGTGCGGGTACCCGCGCGGGCCTTTTGCGGGTACCCGCGCAGGCCTTGTGCGGGTACCCGCGCGGGCCTTGTGCGGGTACCCGCGCGGGCCTTGTGCGGGTACCCGCGCGGGCCTTGTGCGGGTACCCGCGCGGGCCTTGTGCAGGTACCCACGTGGCTTCTTGGCGTGTTCTTGAATTGATTAAGTCTAAGTAAATTCCATTGAGGTTTTTGCAGAAAGCTTAAGGCTTAAGGCTTAAGGCTTAAGACTTAGGTAGTTCAGTATTACCCACAGACATACCGGCCCTTTGCGGGTACCCGCGCGGGCCTTGTGCGGGTACCCGCGCGGGCCTTGTGCGGGTACCCGCGCGGGCCTTGTGCGGGTACCCGCGCGGGCCTTTTGCGGGTACCCGCGCGGGCCTTGTGCGGGTACCCGCGCGGGCCTTGTGCGGGTACCCGCGCGGGCCTTGTGCGGGTACCCGCGTGGCTTCTTGGCGTGTTCTTGAATTGACTAAGTCTAAGTAAATTCCATTGAGGTTTTTGCAGAAAGCTTAAGGCTTAAGGCTTAAGGCTTAAGACTTAGGTAGTTCAGTATTACCCACAGACATACCGGCCCTTTGCGGGTACCCGCACGGGCCTTGTGCGGGTACCCGCGCGGGCCTTGTGCGGGTACCCGCGTGGCTTCTTGGCGTGTTCTTGAATTGACTAAGTCTAAGTAAATTCCATTGAGGTTTTTGCAGAAAGCTTAAGGCTTAAGGCTTAAGACTTAGGTAGTTCAGTATTACCCACAGACATACCGGCCCTTTGCGGGTACCCGCACGGGCCTTGTGCGGGTACCCGCGCGGGCCTTGTGCGGGGGGGGGCTTTGTGCGGGTACCCACGTGGCTTGCAGGAATGCACCCTAAGGCCCTAAGGGAGGCCCTAAGCCCTAAGTTTTAAGCCCTAAGGCCCTAAGGGCTAGCTGCTAGCTAATGAGTTTTGCTGCAAGGACTCCAGGGCTGAAGGCTTAAGGCTTAAGGCCCTATGGCTACGGCTTCATCGGCTAATGATCAATTAAGACTCCGTCTTAAGGCTTAAGGCTTAAGGTTTCGGGCTGCCGGATTATTCTGGGAGCATAGCAGGAGAAGCTGCAAGCCCTGGGCGTTAGGGTCATTGGCTCACACACCTGCTCCTGCATGCTTTGCATGCCAGGAACAAAAACAGTTACAGCCTAGAGCGCTTAAAGCCTTAAGCCTTGAACCGTAAGCCTTAAGCAGCATGCTTATGCTATAAGTCCGTGGCCGTAGAGTCCTTGGAGTCAGAGGCCTTCAGACCTTGGGTTGAGCTTTGCCACAGATGCCATTTGTACTCTACGGACCCTGGACAGAGAGGAGTTTTACACCAGATTTGGGTGCCCTTTTCCCTTAGGGAGGTGCACACCTGAAAAAGCTCCCACTATTTCTGCTCAGGGCGTTTTTTTACGCCAGGTTTTGGCCCTAGTTTTGCTTAGGTGTTTTTACGCCTGGTTTTGGCCCTAGTTTTGCTTAGGGGTTTTACGCCAGGTTTTGGCCCTAGTTTTGCTTAGGCCGTTACGCCGGCGGAGTAATTTCACTCCGGGCCC